GCTATTTAATACCCCTCTCTTCATGAGCATGTTTAGCATTTGTGAGTAGTTACCTTTGTTCTCGAGGTCACTGGAGAAATCATGTTGCAAGTAATCATGTGAATTTGATATGTGTTCGATATTTTGATAGTATGTATGTTGTGATTCCCTTAGTGGTGTCATATGAATGTCGACTACATGACACTTCACCATATTTGGGCCTAAGGGAATGCATTATGGAGTAGCAATTAGATGATGGGTTGCGAGAGTGACAGAAACTTAAACCCTAGTTTATGCGCTATTCCGTAAGGGACCGATTGGATCCAAAAGTTTAATGCTATGGTTAGAATTTATTCTTAATACTTTTCTTGTAGTTGTGGATGCTTGCGGGAGGGTTAATCATAAGTAGGAGGTTTGTTGAAGTAAGAACAACACCTAAGCATTGGTCCACCCACATATCAAATTATCAAAGTAGCAAACACAAATCGAACCAACATGATGAAAGTGACTAGATGAAATTTCCATGTACCCTCAAGAACGCTTTGCTTATCATAAGAGACCGTTTTGGCCTGTCCTTTGCCTCAAAAGGATTGGGCTACCTTGCTGCACTTTTGTTATTACTATCGTTACTTGCTTGTTACAAATTATCTTGCTATCAAACTGCTCTGCTACTTACAATTTCAGCACTTGCAGACATTACCTTACTGAAAACTACTTCTCATTTCCTTCTGCTCCTCGTTGGGTTCGACACTCTTACTTATCGAAAAGAGCTACAATTGATCCCCTATACTTGTGGGTCATCAATAGGGCACACCCACTGGGTGTTCATATTCCAGTGGGGGCACGCTGAGTGCATCCACTGGGTGTAGTCCCTGAGGCTCCTGTTGACTGGAATCAGTCGACATGAGTCTTTGGACTTATTCTTCTTTTGTCGCTTTCATTCGGGATCTTGCCAGAGCGTTTCCGAGTGATCACGATCCAGTGGGGCACGCTGATTGCACCCACTGGGTGTAGTCCCCGAGGCTACTGCTGACTGGATGCAGTCGGTGGTAGTCTTAGAACTGTAGCAGTTTTGCCCTGTGGTTGTTTGCCATTTTTTAGCTTGACACGAGTCACTTTTCGGTGGGGGCACGCTGAGTGCACCCACTGGGTGTAGTCCCCGAGACGGTTATCAATTGCGGGCAATCGATAGCGGTCTTTAGAACTGTCCCTTGGCACTCGGGGCGCTCGGCAACACTCACGTATTGTTCAGACAGTAGGTAGGATTCTTCATTGCTGACTTGGAAGTTAGCCAAATGAAAGTAGATCAGTGTGTTGTTGCCCTCTATCTTGTTCATTGCTGACTCGATGGTCAGAGGGTACTTGAGGATCTGGTACTGGTCAAGCTTGTTCCTCCCGTGGGCATGGTCGACTCGGTAGTAAGAGGGTACTTGAGGATCTGGTACTGGTCCGGCTTGTTTCTCTCGGTGGTGTACGACCGAGTGGTAGTGAGAGGGTACTTAAATATCTGGTACTGGTCCAGCTTGTTCCTCTCGGTGGAACACGGCCGAGTGCTAATGGATCAGAACTTTGGTTTTTTCCTTTAAGGCCCTGTTTGTTTGGGCTTTTGCTTCTGTTTTTTGCAGATTTTCCACTTTAGCTAAAAAACCATAAAAACTCCTAAATAGGTGTTTTTGGAGCTTTTATGGCTTTTGGAGCTCAAATAGATTATATTGATTCATCAAAAGCCAAAAAAGCTTCAAAAGCACCTACTTAGAAGCTTTTATGACTTTTAGGCCAAAGTGAAAAAGCTGTAAAAGCTGAAGCAAAAGCTTAAACAAACAGGGCCTTAAAGGTACAACTGGCAAATATTCCTCACGATCTTTTCCATTGGTGATATTTTACAACATGTAGAGACGGAGATCATCACTCAAATATACCATGCATGAAGTTACTCATGGTTAGGTGTCGTAGTACAATTGTAGTCTTCGCAGGTAACGATTGGAGATTGTGAAAATATCACCATTGTAGTACTCACAATTCGAGGCAGCGAGGTGATCCGCCAAGTCATGACACTGAAGCACAATGTCTTACGTGCAAGCCCAGAGTGTGAGGGCGTCACCGGTTCACTCACAAGTTCACGACGGTCATCCCCTAGTGCCTTGGGTCAAAAAGGTTGCACAAAATGTATATTCCAATAAGTGATCATTGTCGCTATGTAAATGAGCAATTTGACGACGAAAATCTTAGCGTCTTTGCGTCAAAAAGTTTCACAAAATGTATAATCCAATAAATGATCATTGTCGCTTATGTAAATGAACAATTTGACGACAAAAATGTTAGCATCTTTGGGTCAAAAGGTTGCATAAAAAGGTATGTATTCAATAAATGATCGCCGTCGCTTACGTCAATGAGCAATTCGACGACATAAATGTTTATGATGTGAATACAAATAGCGTAAATACCCACCATCTCTCATATTTAAAATGAAGATGGGTCGTGCCTTCGAGTTTGCCAAGAAAATAATTTCTTTTTATTTTGACATCATACTTTGCCCCTGATGCGGCGGGTGCCTTGCATTAGTTTTTCTCAAAGTTTTTCCTCTTCGTTTTCGCCACTGTGAAAAAATCATGATGTACAGGACGATATTTTTCTTAAGAAAAAGTAAGCAGAACTTGATGAGAAACTAGCACTGCAGCAAGTCTGTTCATGACGTACTATTTTTCTTATTGCAGGAGGATGTATTAGTTGACGTGTAATTCTCTGCTGCCATCACTCCCCCGGACTCTCGCTCTCTCTCTCCCTCTCTCTCAGCACAGCACAGCACAGCACAGCGAGCACATCACTCTCCTCGCTTTTCCCCACTCGCCACTTTCTTCCCTCTCCGCCTCCTCCTCCCCCTCCCCTGCCATCGCCCCCGCTTTTTAGCCCACCTACCGGCAGCAGCGGCACCCCATAACAAAAAGCACCCGCGCCTCCATTCCCCACCCCGCCCTCCCCCTCCCCTCTCCCCCACCCAGCCTCCACACTCCATTGCTAGACCGAGAGCAGAGCTGCATTACCGAACCAGGAGCACCGAGCACGCCGAGGCCGCAGCCACGAGCTAGCAGCAGCGAGGCCGCGCCTGCTTGCCGCCTGCCGCTCGTGCTGCCAGGAGGAGGAGGAGGTGCGATTCCAAAGGGGCAAAAGGCGCGGGGAGCAAAAAGGGGCGACGCGAGGCGAGGCGAGGGCCGGGGTAAAAGGCGGGGGGAGTGGAGGGCATCCAGCGCAATCCACCCGGCTAAAGCGCCTCCGCCTGACTGATTGGAGCAAGTGTGCGCTGCAAGCGACGACCGCATCGCGCGCGCCAGCCACCGACACTCCCCCCGCCGCCGATCGGAGCGGCGCGCCAGATCCAGCCGCCGCCGGAATTGGGGCGCCCCGCCGGATCTGCATTCCGCGCAGCGCCTGCCTGAGCCGCGCCCCTCGCCTCCCGTAAGTCCCCGCTCCCCCCTCTGCTCCACGCCTGCATACTATCTCTCTCTATTTTCCTGTATCTCTCGCCGTCGCCGTGGCGCGGCCGCGCTTGCTGCTCGTGCGTGCAATGGCGCGTGGATTTTCTGGGTTGTTCTCGCGGAGCCTTGCCGTATCTGCGATGGTTTTCTTCGAGAGTTCGAATAGTGTTCATCATTCAAAAAAAAAGCTCCTCGGTTCAAGCCGTGCTCTCCGGATGGATTTCACTGTTTATCAGCCCGGTTTCTCTCCTCCGTTACAGTCCCCGGGCATTTTCGTTTCACTGGGCGCCGCTCGTTTCGCCTTCCCGGGCTTCCTGGCTCGTGTCCCCTTGTCTCTTACGAACGAAATCATACCACTAGTAGTAGTCCAGCCCCAGTGAAATCGCACAGCGTCGGCTCGTCGCCAACTGCTGCGCTAGCTCTCGCGAGCGCAATCAATCAGTCAGGCGCCATGCCGTGGCCGCTCGCTTTGGTCACGTTTTGTCTACCCCATGATTTCGTTCCAAGACTTCCATTCCACCCAGTGAATGAAATCGCCACCCCACACAGTACCGATTTTTAGTTTTTTACCCGTGACAGCATCGAACAACAAGTACGGCCACGGCTTCCTTCCTTTCCTCCGGTGGTATTTGAATCGTTGGTACTCCTCCGGGAGTACAGGATTAGTAAAAAGAGATCGTACAAGATTAGTAAAAGGAGACGGTAAAAATGGGCGCGCCTGCTAGCTAGCGAGAACCTGCAAGGAAAGGATTTAAGAGGAGTGTCACATCTGGTTAAAAATCCAATCAGCCGAGGGAGCACCGCCATTAATGGCCCGTATCGTGTTTGTGGTAGCTCCGGGCTTTCACTCCGGCTCACGCGCGCCATCATCTTTATTATAGCCAGAGCCACCTTCCAGTTCAAGAAGAATCCACCTTCTTCCCCGGGGCGGCGAGTTGGATTGTCCGGTCATCTCATCCACCCCGTCCGTCCGTCAGTCAGTCCGGCCACGGCCACGGCCAAACCAAACCCTCCGCATGGGCTTAAATAAACATTCGATGCGGCCAGGCCACGCCGGCCATTACTCCCGCGGGCGTCTTAGGTGCCGCCCTTAACTGCCGCGCTTGCCGAGACCGAGGCCGCCCGCCCTCGCTGCCGTCCGCGTCAAACTCCACACGCTACAGCCTGGGCGCCATGGGTCCATGCATAGAGATACTGCTGCCGCCTTAATTAAGCCCAGTTAGGTGAGCACAGCCACGAGATGAGCCATGACTGTTGAGTACGTGACACGACTCTTCGTTACTTGCCCCGCGTCAATGCCCTGGCCTGGCCCTGGCGTGACGGTGATCGGATCGGATCGGCTGTTGCTGCTGCAACTTGGCGGCCTCTCGGGTGGGGGGGCACCCCAACTTTGGACGGGATCGGGAATTCTTTTGGCCTACTTGCCCTCCTCCTCCTCCTTGTTGGCCATGGTCCTATCTTAGTATCCTATATAGCCCTAGCTGTGTGAATTGTGACGCAGGCTTAGGTTTTTGGATCTTGCCAAATGGAATATGTGACGCTGGCTGGATGCTTCAGGTACGCGGGGTTTATGTTGCGTACCTTGTGCTGATCTGTTCTGTGGATTGGTTGTGAGTGGTTGATTGCTTGTATTGTACATACCATATATGGTGGACCGACTGTGATCTCAACTGAAGTGTGTACTTGCCCAACCACCGGTGTCCCACTGTATGTGCATGACCTTATCTGTGGATTAGGGATTCTTGGTAGCAGTGTGAATTATGGATGTTGTATGTGCGCGCAGGAAAAATGTTACTGATAACGTTTTCCATATAGTGACAATGGTGGAGTCAAATGCTTGCTTACTGAATTTGGTTTGCTGGTCACGTATATGAGCAATATTTTGTCTGATAGTTTGTGCTGGTTTTTTGTGCGTTCTCTTCTTAAAATTGGCTTATGATGTATTTTGTTGGCTTTCCTCGTCAATTCCACTGTCCTCTGTAGCTCTAGCCTTTAGCTGTAATACTACAAAAACTTATGCTATTGGAGTTTGGATACATGCGCCAGTCTGTCAGCTCATTGTAGGAAACCTGAGTTGTAAGGAACACCATACATATCAGGACTTCCATATAGTGACAACGGTGGAGAGTCAAATGCTTGCCAGCTATTTTGTTATATGACTTTATATGCAAATTTGGTTCTTGCAAGTACTGTCAATACTGAAATTTGTATGGATATGAAAGGAAAGGAGAGCTTTTCCTTGCCATGATGCTTTTTTCATTTGTCTGCTCTCAAATGATACATTTCATTTGATGCCTATCTACTGTTGCCTTTGTCTTGTGATCGTGGTTGTTGACAAACAAACAAAAATTCAGTTACTATTTAGCAACGCACTTGTATATGATCGATATATATATATATATATGGGCAAGTTTGTTGCATTAGGTTCGCTGATTACAGATATTTACCTTCTTTGATCAGATACATTGTGTGAGATGGACCGGCGTAGTTGGCCGTGGAAGAAGAAATCATCGGACAAATCCTCAAACGCAGATGTCTTGCAGAACTCTAATCAAGCAGAACAGGTTTGTGTCTTCAGTACTATTTTGATTTGGATTTGCTGAAGTGTCAGTGGTGTCATTCTATAGTACTGTCTGTCCTCAAATTTCCTCATTGACAAAGCTAATGCAAATAGTTCATAATTTCAGTAGCACAGATGTTCTTATGATTTAACCAGTGGTTTAAGATTTAAACCCTATTGTATTTGTATAACCTAGATACATTGCGAATAATCAATAAAATGCTGCCATTTCCAACAACAACAAAATCCTTACCAAGTGATTGTGCATGATCTGCTGCCTCAAGTTGCTGCCCTTGCAGCCAAATTTTTAGCTACTTATTTTGGCCCCATGAGTGTCTTGTGTTGGCTGTGTTTCAAACCTGTATGACAATGTTTGTTTCCTTCTAAAATTAACTTCTATTTTGCAGGAGGATAAAGTTCCGAAATTTGTGCAGATTTCACCGGAAACATATGCACATCTTACTGATTCTGAAGAACAAGTGAAAGTCTTGGATGAAAAGGTGAAAACCTTGAATGAGAAACTGTCTGCATCACAATCTGAGATCACTACCAAAGATGCCCTTGTGAAACAACATGCTAAAGTTGCTGAAGAAGCTGTATCAGGTGCGTAAAAGAACTCTATATTCATTCTCTCTTTTCTGGATCTGGGTAGAATTATTTACTCTCTGTAACTGCTGTCTTTACTAGACCTTCCTCATTTTCCATGAACCTTACAGCAGTGAATGATAGTTTACTTTAGTAGGCAGAAAAAATTTCTCCAGTGATCTGTGCTCCTTTTATGAAATGACTATAATTAAATTATTGATGGTATGTATATGTTGTTATGTTAGGTTGGGAGAAAGCTGAAGCGGAGGCCTCGGCACTGAAGGTTCAGCTAGAAACTGTTACATTGTCTAAGCTAGCAGCTGAGGAAAGAGCTGCCCATCTGGATGGTGCTCTAAAGGAATGCATGAAGCAAGTAAGAACTGTGAAGGAAGAAGGCGAGCAGAAGCTACATGATGTAGTTTTTGCGAAAACCAAACAGTGGGAGAAGATAAAGGCCGAGTTGGAAGAAAAGTTGCTTGAATTTGACCATGAGCTCATAAGGGCTGGTGCTGAGAATGATGCACTCTCAAGATCACTCCAAGAGCGGGCAGATTTGTTGATGAAAATTGATGAGGAAAAGGCTCAAGCAGAAGCTGAAATTGAAGTCTTGAAAAGCACAATTCAGTCAGGTGAAAGGGAAATAAATTCACTGAAGTATGAAGTACATGTTGTCACCAAAGAGCTTGAAATCCGCAATGAAGAAAAGAACATGAGTGTGCGCTCAGCTGATGTAGCAACTAAACAGCACCTGGAGGATGTTAAGAAAATCACAAAGCTGGAAGCTGAATGCCAAAGATTGCGTGGTCTTGTTCGGAAAAAGTTACCAGGCCCTGCTGCATTAGCTCAGATGAAAATGGAAGTTGAGAGCCTGGGAATGGGCAGAGATTATGGAGACAACAGATTGCGACGATCCCCTGCAAAGAATAATAGCTTCCATCGTCCTATGTCCCCTATGTCTCCAGTTCCTGATTATGCTTTTGATAACCTACAGCACATGCAGAAAGAGAATGAGTTTCTGACTGCACGTTTGTTAACTATGGAAGAAGAAACTAAGATGCTCAAAGAGGCATTGACAAAACGGAACAGTGAGCTACAAACTTCAAGAAGCATGTACGCTAAGATAGCGGGCAAGCTTCGCACCTTGGAAGTTCAAATGGTGACTGGTAACCAACGTAAGAGTCCATCAAATCCAAACATGGATATCCACTTTGATGGTGCACATAGTCAAAATGGAAGCAATCCACCTAGTATGACTTCCATGTCTGAAGATGGTGTTGATGATGAAGGCAGTTGTACCGAGTCTTGGGCCAATGCTCTGGTATCTGAGCTATCACACATCAAGAAAGAGAAAGTAGCTAAGAGTAGTGTGACTGATGGCTCCAATCGGTTGGAACTGATGGATGACTTCCTAGAGATGGAGAGACTAGCTTGTTTGCCTTCTGAAGCCAATGGCCATGACAATGCTGTTGACAAAGTAAAGATGGTTGATGCTGAGGCTGCTGTATCTGGTCTTACTGAGAGTGATGGTGTTAAAGATTTGCAGTCAGTACCATTGCCTGGAACTCCATCTAGTAAACAGCAGCTGTCCGAGGGATCTCCACTCTTGAAACTGCAGTCCAGATTATCTTCTTTGCTGGACTCTGAATCACCACAGAACAATGCTGGGAAGGTACTAAACAGTATCAGAAATATTCTTAAGGATATTGAAGAAGAGGCAGATTTAATGAATGCAAGCAAGATGGTTGAAGTTTCTGAAAGTGAATCATTAATGAACCAAGACAAGAGGTTGAGCATTGGGAGTAAGCATTCCATGGATCAAGAAGTTATAAATGCCATCTTGAAGATTCAAGACTTTGTTAAGTCACTTGATCAAGAAATGTCCAAGCACCAGAGACCGTCTTCTGATTATGGTGGGCTTTCTGAGAAAATTCAGCAATTCTCTGCGCTAGTTGAGAAAGTTCTATCAAATGAAAATGTCATAAATGACATCATTATGACACTATCTCACATCTTGTCAGAAACTAGTGAGATCAAGTTCACAATGTTGAGAGACAGCACAAATGAAGCAGACAGTAATAATTTGGATTATGTTGACAAAGTGACACTACTTGAAAATAAAGTGCAGCCTCATTCATCTTCTGGCCCTTGCCCACTTATTCCTCATCCATCTTCTGATCCTGAGATTGTGGGGCCTAATGATGCCGGATTCGATGTTAAGACTGCAGTGCAGATGTGCTCACCGGAGGACTACGAGCGACTTAAATCTGAGAAGATTAATCTGGAGACAGAACTAGCGAGATGCAGTGAAATGATAGAAGATACAAAGTGTAGGTTTAGTGAGATGGAGAAAAACCTGGAAGAGCTTACATCCAGGTTGTCTGCCAGCGAGAATTCAAACAGCTTGGCTGAGACGCAGCTGAAGTGTATGGTTGAATCCTACAAGATTCTTGAATCAAGGAAAGTTGAATTAGAAAAGGAAATAGAAGTGTTGCAGTCCAAAATAGAGACTTTAACAGCTGAACTCGGGGATGAAAGACAAAGTCATCAGGATGACTTAGCCAGATACAAAGATCTCGAAGAGAAGATGGAAAGGTAATACTGAAATCTATTTATGAGTAGTTAGTATATGTGCATCTGCTTAGTTTCTTCTCACTTGACTTTGTGATATGAAGGTACGAAAACGAGCAGAGTTCAATGCATGTGGAAGAGGTTGACGACACCAAATCAAAGCAGGTACTAATAATAACTAATAAGTGCTAGAGCTCCTTTTCTCAAACACACATCCAAGTGTGTGATTGTAGTACTCCCTCCAATCCGAATTAATTGACACAGCCTCTATACAATGTCAAACTGGCATTGTATAGACGCTTCAACAATTAATTCGGTTGACATTGTATAGAGGATGCGTCAATTAATTCGGATCGGAGGGAGTGCAAGAGATGTTCTTAGATTCACAATATCTATTTATATCTCTGTGTGGCTCTTTCGGAGCGATCTGCCCTGTTAAGTTTCACTGTTAGGTTGGCTGATGAATGTTGTCTTCCCTTTTGGTTCCTTTTTCTTCTTTTGGCAACGTTGTACCATACTGTTGGATTCTGGCAACAGAAATCAGTGAAAACCCCTTTTCAAAAATAAATAAGTAAAGATTGCATTGTAATGTTTGTTCCACTGCTGAATTCTGCATGTTCATGATGGCACAATTCCAAATCACTCCCTCCGTTCCTAAATATAAGTCTTTTTAGAGATTTCTATATGAACTAAATACGGATGTATATAGACGTATTTTAAAGTGTGGATTCACTCATTTTGCTTCGTATGTAGTCCATATAAGAAGACTTATATTTAGGAACGGAGGGAGTACTTATGTTCATCTGTTGTGCTTGTGATTTCTGAATGTAGAATTTTAACTATGAAAAATATGTTAGCAATAAATGATATCCTACTAAGAATCAAGCGGCAAGCGCTAAATATGTTATAAGCTCATTTCCGGGTTACTTCAGACTAGGTTGTAAATTTGTAATGCTGAAAGCAATGGTCTTTTCTGGAAATTCAAGACTTACAAAACACTTATAACACACTTATTCTTGTTTAAATCGGTGGCAGGAGGTGGAAATAGCGGCCGCAGCAGAAAAGCTTGCAGAGTGCCAGGAGACCATGTTGATTCTTGGTCGTCAACTGCAAGCTATGCGTCCTCCAGCAGAGTCAATGGGTGCCTCGCCAACCCGGCAACGAATGGAGGACTTCTTGCAAGACGCGGCAGGAACAACCGAAGGCGAGTATGCCCAGAAACCATCAGGCCAGCATGATACAGATCAGGAAATGCTGGAGTCAGAGAATGTATCTCCCCTCAACGGATACAAGACCCACATGACCCCTTCTGATGCGGACGGAAGCCCTTCTCTTTCAACAAACAGTTCCAAGCGCCCAAAGCATAGGTCGCGATCCTCATCCTCTTCCTCATTTGCTAACCAGTTGCCCGAGAAACAAAGCCGGGGCTTTAGTCGGTTCTTCGCCAAGGGCAAAGAGTGAACATTAGCTGGATTGCAAGATTATGTGATGTTGGCTTGTTGATTCTTCGGCGAATGGATGGATGACGGATGAAAACGGGTCATGGGTTTCTATAGAGCTACTCGGCGAATCTGCTTGTGTATTATTTTGGGGTGACGCCTCCGGTGGTTCAGTTGCTGGAGTAATACTTGCCTTGCAGTCGAGCGGTTATGACCAGGTTGTGTGTGAGAGAGAGAGTGTGTGTGTGTTAGCTGTCGTTATCTTCTTCTAGAGTTTTTTCTGGGTTGCTGTTTGTCTGAAACCTCACTAAAACCTCACTGTACATGGTGCTTACCTGCATGAAGAAGAGAGCTGCTGTTTGTTTGTGTTCCATTCTCTTGTGAGAAGTAGTCTGTGTATGTCGTTGGTGCCAAAACTGGCTTCATGTACAGCTAAGTTAACCTGCGTCAGTTTGAAGGTTATCATTGTGTTTATATCTGTTTATCAGTGTCAAAATCTGAAGAAAGATTTTTGTTGCCCATTTTGTGTCTTCTATGTTACTCATACATCCTTGCTGCTGGTAAGACAGCTTATACCAATTCAGAAACAGCAAAAACAACAGCCTAGTTTTCTTTCTCAACAATCCAGAAAATACAACGAACGCAAATTGCAATCCTGGTTGTCCATTCCAACTAAACATTGGTGACAAGGGAAAAAGCACCGCTAATATTTCCTTCTGCGAGCATGTTGAAGCGCCATCACCAATTTGGGAGGTCATAATTTAGAGTTCTCTAAAACAACACGACTGCAACTGCAAGAACCAGGGCAAAGCAATTGTCCAAAGAAGAAATCAGCCGCAAAAGAAGAGAAGCGCACGCATTTCTGGCATTGGATTAAAAGGGGCACAATCACGGCATTCTTGAAATAAGACACCAGGATTTACTTCACTGCAACAGGGCACGGTTACATCAGGAACACAACATTCGGCACCAAACTACCAACACCAACAGGATGAACAGGCACTCCCTCCGTAAACAAGCCGCCACGAGGAAAGGAAAGCCTAGCCGCCGAAGCCGTAGAGGGTGCGGCCCTGGCGCTTGAGCGCGTAGACGACGTCCATGGCGGTGACGGTCTTGCGGCGCGCGTGCTCCGTGTAGGTGACGGCGTCGCGGATGACGTTCTCGAGGAAGATCTTGAGCACGCCGCGGGTCTCCTCGTAGATGAGCCCCGAGATGCGCTTCACGCCGCCCCGGCGCGCCAGCCGCCGGATCGCCGGCTTCGTGATGCCCTGGATGTTGTCGCGCAGCACCTTCCTGTGCCGCTTCGCGCCGCCCTTGCCCAGCCCCTTGCCGCCCTTGCCGCGCCCAGACATCTCCGCCGCTCTCTCTCTTCCTTTCCCGGGCACGAAGATGGATTTGGGGATTTTGTTTTCTGTTGCTTGGGATTGGATGGTTTGGGGGGAGACGAGTGGGCGGGGATATATAGAGCTGGAGGAGGGTCGCGGGAGGCGTTGGATCGGGGAGCGATCCGCGTGAGGGGCGAGCGCGATGGCCTTAGCCGTTGGATCGAGGTGGGCTGGTTCCTATTGGTCGAGCGGGTAGGGGCGCGGATCGCGGCTGCCCGCGCGGGGGGAATGGAATTCAGGCAGAAGGGCTGAGCGGGAATTTTTCTGTGCGTTCACGGGGGAGATGGAAATTTTGGGCCAATCCCATGTGCCGCCGCGGGCGGCATACCACAGTCGCCGCTTCGCTGAAGCCAGCCTCCAGACAGGCCGGCCTTTTCGGCTGTCTTTTTTTTCAGCTGTTTCATTTCTCAAAAAACAAATGTGTATAGTTTTTTTGTTTCGTTTCTTCTTCTTTTTTTTCTGTTTTTTAGATGTTCAGTCTTCTTCCTCTTTAGCTTTTTAATACTTTTTGCATATTTCTTCTTTTATATAGGTTGTGCAATATATTCTGAACTTTTTCTCAATATACGGTGAACATTTTTCAAATACTCACTGAACTTTTCCAGTATATGCTACACATTTTTAAATACACACTGGACAAATTTCTATAATATACGATGACTATTTTTTTATATAAATTGAACATTTTTAATATATAATGGACTTTTCAAATTATACGATGAATATTTTATAAATACACACTAAATATATTTTTATATATGGTAAACTTTTTTATGTAACACATACTGAAAAAGTTTCTAAATTATTTTTTCTATTTTTCAATAGTTCTAAAAATATCCAACTCCTAAAAACAACTACAAAACTGAACAAAAAAAGCAACATGCGGGGTATAGTGGGGACCCACTGGGCTTGCCTTCAGCGAAGGCACCCCTAGTTAACGCACACAGGCGTCAGGCGTCAACTAGGAGCTCCTGTAATTTTGTGCATGGCCCACTAAACCAGAATGTTTGGTGCTGCGATGGTTGACTAGGGTTGTGAGTATTGATGTACTAGATCTGGCCTGACACGACTAAGGCAAGGCTACCTTCAAAGTCTAGATTCTAGCAGGCACGTCAACCATTGTTGTTGTCACTCTTGGTGGGCCCAATGATTTTCCTTTTTCAACTACAAATGTGTTTTTACACTCACAAATGTGTTCTATTCAAGGCATATCAGGAAAGAGAGGTGAGAGGACCTACCCTCTCGATTAGGGTTTAACCTACTCCCGTGTCGATCTTGATCGCCGACGAGAGTTCACCATTACGGGAGCTGTGCATGGATCTATTTGCTCTTTGGATAGATTTCAGCTTCTCCTCATCAGGGTTTCTCCTTGAACCCTAGCCACGAGGGTGGCAAACGAGGGATCGTCTGTGTTGGTGGGAGTGTGGTCTTAGGAAACCTAGAGGAGATGATGAAGCATCTTGATCTGCATGAGGGCAGACTAAATGAGGTGGTCAATGGAAAAAGTGGAAGTAAAACAATTTGAGGCAACGCTAGATGGCTGGCAATCGGGCCTTTAAGCACAACCCGCGTGTTCAGCTCCTCGACAATGTTTGAGAAACTTAAAACTATTTGGATCCTAGCCCATGAGACGAAGTATAAAGAGGCTAGCAAAAAAACTCTTTTATGTTTTAGGTGTATTGCCTTGCGTACCGGAGGAGAGTAGTTCATGGAGGACCTTGGCTTCTTAGGGGCCTAGGTTTATTGATTAAGGATTACGATGGAAGGATTCATCCGAATTCGGTTGTGTTTGATGGCCATTATGCCTGGGCTCATATTCACAAGATCCTCAATTTGTACTGGCAGAAGGAGTGGTTGATCGGCTCACTCGAAGGATGGACCAAGTAAAAGGAACTCATATGGCACCGAAGCCTTTTTTACGAGGGTGATTATGTGTGTGCCAGGGCATGAGTTCACGTGCAAAAGGCTCTTACCAGGTTCACACCCTGACTGTGCAAGGATAAGGGAGGCTCTTACTGCCGATCTGGTATGAAAAATCCCATATTTCTACCAGGTGTGTGGGATCATGGTCCATAGTTACAATGAGTGCGATGACGGGGTATGGGTGATGAGTTCGGAATGTATGGTATTTTGATGGTTATTTTGCGCCTGCATAGTAGGCTTTGTTAGTTTCCCCAGATCGCACATTTTGGTAGAAAATGGGATACTATGAAAGAAACCTTAGAAATTTATGGTGGGATCACATCAATTGACGTGATTATCACTTGTCATAAAAAAGTAATGAAGCATTGGGAGAATTTGGGAGCTTGCACTAGCTTCTAGAGTGCAAGATGGCCAACGGTATGAACGCGAGTGCTCGTACCCACGGTCGTACCACATGCCGCCGCCTCCCTCTGGTCGTTTGCTTTCGCCCCATGGGATCATATCAGAGATCAGACACACTTACACACGCGAAACTCATCTAAAAGGCAGAACCCTAACTTCCGCATGCAAAAAGGAGATCGCCATCTTCATCATTGTGTGCAAGGGGACGTTGAGATCATCCATCTCCACCAACCACCATCATCAACATCCATCCCCATCTAGTTGTAATACCAAACCCTATTTGGGTTAGCATGTGTACTACTCGTTCATACCATCCATGTTTATCAACACCGCTTGCATGATGTTTGTTGCCGCTATGTATGAGTAAACCCCCTGGTTCTCACGAATATGAATAAACATTGGCGGCTCTCGAGTAAACCTCCTAGCCCGCGGACATTTGATAAGATTTGTTCATTGTGGTTGTAGATGCTCTTTACCATATTTCTGTTTACAACGACGTGTTTGGTTGTCCTAAAAATCTGTAGTTTTAATATTTGCAATATTTGCTAAGGGTGTGTTCGGCAACTGCCCACCTCCCAGATTCGTTGAATCCACGAGAGGAGCTGTCTTGAACGGCTTGGCTCCAGGAAGCTAGCTCTTGAGTATGAGATGGGTCGTAATACAAAAACTGGGAGCACGTGTTTCGTGGATCCCAAATATCGCAAAACCTGGAGTTCAAGTTATTTACGGCGAGCTGCCACCGTGAAGTGAAAGAAAATATTTTGTTTAGGGAAAAAAGACTGGAGCGAACTCCCTTCCCTCCATACCAAGACAGAAATGAGCTTAATGGGCTAGCAAGTGACCAACCCAGGACTAGCGATTGGATCTGCCGAACGGTGTTTCCAAATCCCTGATTTTTCTTTGGGGAGCTAGAACCGAGATCCGGAAATTCCTATTTGCCGCTCTCTGCGATAAACTGTCGCTGGTTCGCACAAAGATAGCGATTAGCAAGCAAGGTGGGCCGACCCATTTACAAGATGACACACGCGCTACAGTTTCCAATTTTGGGAACCTCGTAGAAGGTTCCTAATCGGTTTTGGGAAGGTTCCAGAAGGTTCCTAAACCGGTTTTCTATGGTTTTCGTTTTTATTTGTTATTTTTCCATTTTCTGTTTTTTTCTTCTATTCCTTATTCTTTTTCATTTTTTGCATTTTCTCTTTCTTTTATTTTTACAATTTATTTAGTAATTCCTTTTCTACTCATTTTTTCAGAATTTCAAAAATTGTTCACAATTAAATAAAAAATTGGAAGTTTAAAAATGTTCATGTTTTTT